ACAATAAATATATAAATAAATAAATAAATATTAAAAATAGAAAACGTCTGGAAAAGAAAATGCCTAGGGGAGCCTGGCTGGCTTAGTCGGTTGAGCATCCAACTCTTGATTTCAGCTCAGGTCATGACCTCATATTTCTTGAGTTTGAGCCCCTGTGTTGGGCTCCTCACTGGCAGTGCAGAGCCCACTTGGTATTCTCTCTCTCCTTCTCTCTCTGCCCCTCCCCCACTTACACAGGGGTGCACACACACATGCACTGTCTCTTTCTCAAAATAAATAAATAAACATTAAAAGAAAGAAAAAAAGAAAATGCCTGAAAACAGCCAAAGAATTTTTGAAAAATTAAACTAAGGGAAGACTTGCCTAACCAGACATCAAACATACCATAAAGGTATAGTAATTAAAACAGTCAAGTACTAGTGCAAGAAAGGACAAATATATCAATGAATGAAACTGGAATACCAAGAAATAGACCTTTGTCAAAAGAAAAAAAAAAGAAAAGAAAAGAAAAAGAAGTAGAACTTTGTAAGAGAATTTAGGATATGACAATGAATGGCCTATTCAATAAAGGCAATTGAAACAACTGTCCACCTATTAGGAAAAATAAATAAATTTGGATCTCTTCCTCACACCACAATAAATCCTAAATGGATTCAACAAAATAAATACAAAAAACAAAAGTGAAGTGTTGGCAGAAATTAGAGAAGAATATATTTTGATCCTTGGAGCAGGGAAGGAAGCCCTTAAGCAAGACAAACGCCATATAGGAAAAAATGGTTAAATCTGACAACAAAAACATTAAAAATTTCTGCATGCTAAGAAAATAAAACCAAAAAGTAAAAAAAAAAAAAAAAAAAAAAAAAAAAAAAAAAAAAAAAAAGTGATAGAAAACCATAACAGGATTAAAAGATCAATTATATTAAGACACTTAAAAAGCAGTCAGAATTCTTGTGCTGATAAAAATGTTCTACGTTGATTGTTGTAGTGGCTGTACAACTCTGAATACACTAAAACCCAATAAATTGTATACTTTAAATGGGTACATTGTATAGTATGTGATTTATATCTCAATAAAGCTTTTACAATAATAAAAAAATTAGGAAAACAGGCAAATGGTATGCATTAGCAATTCCCAGAAGATATACAGGGAGCCAGTAAATATGGAAAAAATGCTCAACATCACAATTATGGAAATACAAATTATAATGTGAAGGAATTTTTTGCTTATTCTATCCATCATTGGAAAGGTGTTGAGAAACACTGTCAAACACTATGGAGGGGGTATAAACTGATACCATCCTTTTTGGAGGGCAATGTGCAAGATCTACTGCAATTTTTTGTTAATTTTTATTTATTTTGAGAATAAAAGAAAGCACGAGTGGGAGAGGGGCAGAGAGAGAGAGAGAGAGTCCCAAGCAGGCTCTGCACCAGCAGCATGGAGCCCAACACGGGGCACGAACTCACAAACTGTGAAGGCCACAAACTGTGAACTCACAAACTGAACCAAGGCCAGGTGCTTACCCGACTGAGCCACTCAGGCGCCCCAGAATCTACTGCAATTTAACATGTGGGAATGCTTCAAGCTAGCAATTCTATTTCTAGGTATCTATCCTAGGGAAAACTCCCAGAAGTGCAGACAGGCTAAGTATAAGAATGAATGTTTAATGAAACATCAATTATAACAGTAAAAAATTAAAAGCAACCTAAATTACAGTACACATGGAACATTATGCAGCAGTTAAAAAGAATAAGGTAAATGAACACGTGCTCACATGGAAAGCAGACATAAGCCAAGAGGAAAAAGAAATAAGAAATACATGCCAACTGAGGGCTATTACTCAGCAATTTAAAGAGAATGAACTACTGACATACACAACCACATAGATAAATCTCAAAAACATTTATGTTAAACAAAAGAAGACAGAGTACAGGGTATTGCTGGATGATTCCATTTCTATGGAATCCAAATATAGGCAAGATTAATCTACAGTGACAAAAAACATTTAGTGGTTGTAAGAGGTTGGGCTAGAAAGGGGCACAAGGCAACTTTCTGGGAGAATGGAAACATTCTGTATCTTATTTTGAATGTTAGTGACATGGGTATATTACAATTGCTAAAACTCACTGAATTCATCTTAAGATCTGTACATTTTATTGCATGTTAAATGTCTATACAAACACATACATACATATCCTATCACACCATTCCTCCACTTAAAACTCTTTAAATGATTACTTGTCACCCTAGGATAAAGTCCAAACTCTTTAGCATCACTCACAGGTCCTTTGTGCCCTCTCTATCTCCTTCGTGAAGTGCTAGCCCAGCAGTTCTCAAAATATGATCCAGGGACCCCTGGAATCTGTGAGGTTAAAACTATTTTTTAGGGGCACCTGGGTGATTCAGTCAGTTAAGCATCTGATTCTTGATTTCAGCTCAGGTCATGATCTCACCATTTGTGAGATCGAGCCATGCGTTGGGCTCTGCACTGACCAGCAGGGAGCCAGCTTGGGATTCTATCTTTCTCTCTCAAAATAAATAAATACATAAATAAACATTTTTAAAAAAACTATTTTTTAAATACTGCTAAGATGTTATTTGCTTTTTCTACTCTCATTCTCTCACAACTGAACATGGAATGTTCCAGAGGCTCCATGACATGTAAATCATATAATTAAATGTGTCAATAATTATGTAATTCAGTAATGGGTATTTTCCACATGATCAATTCATGATATTATAAAATCATTCATGAGTAAAAGTGCAAGAGAAAGACCAATAGATCTTAATGTTAACAGTGTGTAAGAAGTTCATTGAGGGGCACCTGGCTGGCTCAATCCGTAGAGCATGCAACTCTTGATCTCAGGGTCGTAAGTTCAACCCTCATGTGTGTAGAGCTTATTTTAAAAATAATTAATTTTTTTTTAAAGTTCATTGATGTGGTTTCACATCACCTGCTGAATTTTAGTATATCAATGAATATCCAGTTATCTGAAAAGCTTATTAATATACTCTGTCCTTTTCAAACTAAATATCTGATGTGTGAGGCCAGATTTTCTTCATACACTTCAACTGAAATAGCCTATTGCAACAATTGAATGCAAAAACAGATATGAGAATTCAGCTGCCTTCCATTAAGCCAGACATTAAATAGATTTGCAAAAACGTAAAACAATACCACTTTCCTCACTAGCTTTTTTGTTTTGGAAAATACAGTTTTCATTAAAATGTTATTTATATTAACATGTAACGTAACAGGCTTTATTTAACAGACATTACTTTTTGGTGCTTTTAAATAAGTTCATAAATATTTTTTAACTTACTCCGTTTTCATTTCTAAAATGGTAAATACGGATAGATATAATACATACAAACAAAAGCTTTGTGGGAGTCTCAATGGTTTTTAAAAGCATAAAAGGGTCCAGAGACCAAAACTACTGCTCTAGCCATACAAATTATTTTTGGTTCCTAAACATGTGATTTTTGCCTCCCAGCCTTTATATGTGCTTTTCTTTCTGCTTTGTGTATTCTCACCAATCTGCCTGGCTAACTCCTATTAATAATAAGGTCTTGGTTTAAACATCACTTTCTCCAGAAAGCCTTCCCTGATTGCTCAGACTGAATTATTTGCCTTTCCCATGTACTCCCATAGTACTGTCTTAATCTACATCATAAATCCATCCTGTGACTGACTGCTTATTTCCATGTCTGTTATTACCCATAACTTCGTTCTTTCTTATGTGCTGGGATCAGGTCTTGTTCACAGCTATATCCCCAGGGCCTACACCACTCCCTGACGCATACAGGCATTCATGAACATTTATTGATAGAATAAGTTAGTGTACCATTCATCACAACCAGTGAAGTATTACTTTCAAAAGAAAATGGAGGCTCAGAGAAGTGATGTGTTCAAACAAATTCGCCTAGAAAGTGTGAGCTGACAACGTTACTCCAAGACTTTTACCTTCAAATCTTCACTCTCTGGAATAGGTGGGACAGTTTACCTGGGAACTAATGGCATACTTCAGGTAGGACAGAATGAGAGGATTGGGGGAAGGTCCAATCATGGCCTGCTCCAGTAGCGCTTCTGCAAGGGGAATAAACAAAGCAAGACTGAGTGGTTATAACTTTTCTGGGTTTAGCCCTCCCATCCTTCCTTCCTACTTGACATGAGACCTGCTAGGTTGAGAATGTCCCAGGTGGCTCCTTTGGGAAAGAATTTCTTCATGTTGATTGCCCACTGGTAGTCACTCCATCGCTCCTTCCAGGCTTGCAAAATGGCTTGCTTCAGGTTCACCACCTTCATGATTTCACTCTGAGAAGGGGCCGATGGAGGTAAGCTTTGAGGTGGGTGAAACTGAGCTTAGAGAAGAAGAGATTGTGAGGGAAAGAACAGGGGTGGGCAGAACAGAATGAAATGGGATCCAGAAAGATTTAAGGGAGACAAAGGAACTACGATAAAAATGGAGAAAGGACAAGGTAGAGATTCTATCAAGTTCCTCCCTCCTGAACCATCCCTTCCTTAAACTGGAGCACTAAGAAGAGGGGGTCAAAGGCGCTTAGTACAAAGAGTAAAGGTGGGAGCAAGGGGTTAAGCCTATTCTGATTGCCTAGTTACGCCCTTAGCCCTGGCTAAGTCCCTCAGCCCCTACCACCCCAAATCCAGAGTGTCTTCCTCCATCTCCTCCACCTTCCCCAACCTTAAAACTATAATTCCCTATTTCCCTTTCATCCACCACCTTCCCAATTTTAAGCCTACCGTACAAGCTAGTTCTAGATCCTAGGAATCGCCATTTTGGCACTTATCAAAGAGCTTAACTTCTATTGGCTGAGAGTAACAAACATGAGCCAATAAGAACGCAGAAGGAGACAGGTCACGCCACGATGTTTTCTGGGAATTGTAGTTCCTTGGATTGGGCTAGAGAGGAAGCTAAGAAACTAAAAACTAGTCTGCCCTCATTGTTTCTCTGCTGTAGGGAAAAATATGTAAGAGCTGAAGCATCACAGAGACTCGGGGAGCCGAGGGGGAAGAGCTCTCGAAAGACCACTAGCAAGCAGGCGTAGCCCCAAGACGTCACTGTCGACCAGGCGTTTAAATGATATTCTGACACCCTTTCATTACATGCTAGTTACTAGGCATAGCAGGGGCGTGGCATTCGTTAAGCAATACGTTTTTCTCTTTCCTGGTCTTTTTTTTTTTTTTTTTTTTTTTTTTTTTGGTGTTCCTACACCCCTGAGTCTACCAGAGTTCTTATTTCCACACCTTTATCCCAGAGGCGGCATTAGGGCTTGATCAATTACACACATCACCACTTAACCCCCAAATCTGGCAGTCCTCCCAGAATCTCCTGGCCTTGCACACTGCTTGAATATGGGAAGAAGTAAAGAGGAAAGTAAGAAGGAAAACTGAAGTTAAGGTTATCAAAAATAAGGAAAGTCTAAGAAACTGTCATAGCCAAGAGGGCTTAAGGAGACACAAGTATTTAATGTAACTTGGTATCCCAGATGTCATCCTGGAACAGAAGAACATTAGGTGTAAACTAAGAAATCTGAGTAAAGCACAGACAGTATTTAATAACAACATAATCAATATTGATTGGTTCATTAGTTGTAAAAAAAAATACCATACTAATGTAATGTAAGAGGCTAATAAAAGGAAAAATTGGGTATGGGGAATGTAGGGACCCTCTACTATCCTCAAATGTTTTCCTGTAAAGCTAAACTATTCTCTTTTTTCTTTAAGTTTATTAAAAACAATATGATGTCTCGCTTATCCTATGGAACGATATTGTACATAATTATGTTCAGGGCTTTGGGCATGAGCCCTTCTTTCCCCCCTCTAGTGAGAAGCTCAAAAGCAAGTACTATCCACCTCTGGCTCCAATGTCTGACCCTTCCTATATATAGCCCTTGTCCCTGCCCTGTCCTATGGACAGATCGTCCCTAACATTTATAACCGAGGACAAGAGTAAACATGAAGGCCCGAGCCAGTATCCTGCCACCCCTACTTTCAGCTCCCCCATCCCATACCCTAAGGGGGTTGATATCCCAGTCCATGAGGCCAAGTTCTGCCCATATTCCCCAGCAATAATTCTTTGGCCACCCTTTCAGTGGCAAAATCAGTCATCAGGGTAATGAATCTGGGACAGCAGTGTGCTCAGACTCTGGAAGCAAACTTGTGGCCCTTGGGGCAGAGAATAACAGGATCCTGGGTATCCAGAGCCTAATTACAACAGGGAGACAAGGATCCCTGTTCTTAGGGGTAGCATGCAGCTGAAGGAGGGCCAGATCACATCTCTCTAAGGTCATTACTCCCTATGGCCTTTCTGCCTCCCCATATACCCAACCCCCCCCCCATTCTGGTCCCCTTTGTGCCTATCCAAGTGACACCACTGGGAAACAGTGTTTCTGTAAAACAGCTGCCAAATATATGGAGCCAAAGCTTCTGAAGCAGCAAGGAGGGAGAACCCAGACTCCTCACACTTAACCTTCAAACTGTCCCCAGCCACACACACATACACTCACACTTGAGATGACCACAACCCCTGTTACTCTGCAGCCTCATATGAACCTGACCTCCCTTCTCCCAGGCCCCCACTCTACCTTTGCCTGCTCCTTCCTCTCACTCCTGCCTGGTTACAGCAGCCCAGGGCCCCCACCTTGGGCCATTCCTGGATCCTACAGCTCCCTTCCCATCCCCCATAGGCCAAACTGCCCCTCTTAGAGAGAAGCTGTCAACTTTGTGACTGAGTTAGTGGGTGTTGGGTACATTTGGGGAATATCTGGGCCCTGAGGATAGTGGTATTCTGAGCTTAAACCATCCCTCTCTGGCAGGAAGCCTGGCACATCTCTGGGGGATGGAGGGGTGCCTCCTTCCCACTTCACAGTGGCAGGGAGGCGGCTTTTGTAGTCAGGCCATCTGCCTTCCCTGTCCCCCACCTCTCACCAGCAGCTCCTTTTCTAGGCTTGGCAGGATTCCCCCCAAGAACTGGACTCCTAAAGAACTAGGAGGGCTCCCTTAGTTGTGGACACGGGCCATCTTCAATTTCCCTACTTTGACTGTCTTGCCTCTCTGATCTGTACATATCAGAGACAGCCTTTCCATACACCACCTCTTTCCTCCACACCACATTAGCTCTCTAGAACCCACAGGCTCCCTGGCTGGATCCTCTCTCCCCAAGCATGGAACTCTATGAAAATCCTCCTGTGGATAAGAGACATCCCCTTTGGATATAAACAAAACCCTTCCTCCACACAGCCCTTCTCAAAAACCTTCCTTTTTGAGGCACCTGGGTAGCTCAGTCAGTTAGGCGTCCAAATTCAGTTCAGGTCATGATCTCATGGTTCGTGGGTCCGAGCCCCACACGAGGCTCTGTGCTGACAGCTCTGAGCCTGAGGCCTGCCTCAGATTCTGTGTCTCCCTCTCTCTCTGCCCCTCCCCTGCTTGCACTATGTCTCTCTCTGTCTCTCAAAAATGAATATTTAAAAAAAAATTGTAAAACCTCTTTTTTTATGTTTATTTATTTATTTATTTTTGAGACTGCGAGTGGGGGAGGGGCGGGGGGGTGTACAGAGGATCCAAAGCGGGCTCTGTGCTGACAGCAGAAAGCCCAATGCAGAGCTCAAACTCATGAACCTTGAGATCATGAACTAAACGGAAGTCAGACACTTACCTGACTGAGCCACCCAGGTACTCTTCTCAAAAACCTTTCTTACCCCACTTTCTTTTGCTGTCCATTTCTTCCCCCTCAGCACCAGTGAAGGCTGAGCTCCCAACCCTGCTCTCTTAGTTCCAAGCCCCAATGTCTTCATCTTGTTGGCTGGTCTGGCTGGAGAAAAGGGGCAGGTGGAAGCCAGCCAGACAGAGTGACATGGCAACACTGGAGCAGTGGCAGAAAAGGAGCTAGGCCAGAGTGGGGTCTTGGCTGGGGTAAGAGGCTGTGGAGAGGGGCACTTGGGTGGCTCAGCTGGTTGCATGTCCGACTCTTGATTTCAGCTCAGGTCATGAGCCCAGGGTCCCGGGATCAAGCCCCATGTCAGGCTCTGCGCTGAACGTGGAGCTTATTTAAGATTCTCGTGCACACGCGTGCGCTCTCAAATTTAAAAAAGGCTGTGGAGAACAGGGGTGTGGGTACCCAAAGGGATGGGAACATTCCTTATCTAGGCTAGAAAGAAGTATAGGGAAAAGTGACAAGAGTCTAGACCCAGAAACATTGAAATACTTGGTAAGCATACAAGGCACAGAAGGTTTTAGTTTCCTTTCTCTCCACAGGGAAACTGAGTCATTCCCCTCCCCAGCTGAACCATTTTCCTTTGGAAGTTTGCCTGGGTCCCCCCACTATGGGGAGTTACTTGGCAGCAGGTGGATGGACAAAGAAAGAGTTGTTCCTACACACTCATACACAGCTGGTTCCAAACCAGTTCCCTTCTCTGACCAGTCCCTACATCAAAATCCCTACTTTCTATTTATCTAGGGGAGAGGAGGATGGGGGAGAAGCCTACCAAAAGGACCCACCTCAGGGACAGGTCCTGGATCTCCCACCATTTCGTGTGTCTGTCTTCCCACTGCCCCATAGAGGTCCAGCAAGAGACCAGCCTGGACAATGGAAGGCAGCATTTGAATCCTTGGAGCAGTTTCCTCTCCCAACACCCTGAAGGATGCCTTCCCTTTCTACACGCCCATGTCAGAGGAGAAGAGACGTCCTGTGATCCCGAGGCCTGGACAGCAGCAGGGAAAAGAAGCCGGCCTGCCATTTCCTTTGCATCACCCCTCCCTCTAGGCCCTGAGAACCACTCTATACTAACCACTCTATACTCCTGGCTTCCACACCAGCTTGTTCTATCTCCTCTCATTGCGGGGGAGGGCTGCAATACAGTAAGGCCCAAACTGTATGGTAGAAGACATTGCGCCCCTACCTCTCCTCCCCTCTCTCCTGGCAAAGGCCAGATGAGGGGGCTGTATGCAAGAGTGAAACCAAAAGCTGGAAAATTTAGGGGGTCCAATATCTGGCACATATTAAATGCTTTAAAAAAAAGGTATCAAAAGAATGAATAAAAGTAGGAGAAACTCTGAAAAACAACCTGGAGAAGGTGTCAGTTTCTTTTTCTACTTCTTGCCTCAGCTACGAAGGGCCAGGTTCAGCCAGGCCTGAGTCCCTTCCCTAGCTCTCTGTTTTGTGACCCGTACCCAGGGTACCTGATGGGACAAAGATGATTGGTAGGGGGACATTAAGTTGCCATTTTACCCATGGGAGGGCAATTGTTGGTAAATTTCCCAGTCTCCCATCTCTGCCAGCCACTTGATCC